CTACACAAAAGCGACAAAATGTTGCAGGCACCAAAGTTCAGAAGTTTCTTTATTTCACACAAGTGCATTAAAGACATCCATTACAACACACAACATACTGTGCAGCAGACATCCCTGCCCAGTACTAGCGGGCTATAAGTGGCACATGCTTTTTGCTTTCCATAGTTCAGCTATATTGTTTTATATCAGGAATCAGACCAAAGCCCCTTGTGACTCAAATGGGCATGTCTGATGGCAGACTGGGTGACTGTAGCTCTTCCTCCAGTGGCTGCCACAGAGACCTACAACCTGGTCTGTGAAGTGGCAGGGCTTTGGTGAGTTATGTACAGCTAAGGTCAGTGTGACCCCAATTAAAATCCTTTCCCCTGAATTATGCCTTCTCACTGACCCGATGGGTTGCTTGCTAATTGTACCTGGTCCCAGTACCTGTTTGTTCTATCCAAGCAAGATAAGCAGTGTCTCTTCCCTTACAGCCCTGCTTGGTGCTATTGTGCCAGTTGTTTGGCCCTATATCACTAGTAGATGTCTTCAAAGCATGCCCTGCTCACTTTCTTTCCATGCTTATAATCAATAAATACTGGATATCCTTGTGGGCTTTTGTCATTGCTGCCCGGAGCAGCACCAATCAGCCCCAAGACCCAGCTCTTTCTGTCTTGTTTCTTTATTTATTCTTATTAGCTTTGTGTTGTATTGCCTCATAGGAGACCAGGACCCACTGCAAAAGTCTGGTAATGTCCCCTTTCCTTTTCCCTATAATATTGAATTATAAGGATTTATATTCGACACAACCATATCCATTTGTTACCAAGTGTGCACATGTTATTTGTGTGTCTACCCTGATTGGTCATTTACGTCTTGAGTTCATCTGTTTACATAGGAGTGTATCTCTCATCAAAGGCACCTGCTTGGGTATTTACAAATAATTATAATTTTTATTATAATTTATTTTAAGAATGTCAATATTTATTTATATTTGATTATATATTAATATTATTTTATAATACATCCATCGTGTGTTGCAATGGATGTACTAAGTGCATCCATCTGGCTGACAATCTTAACTGGGGCTTATTTTTGGGGTAGGGCATATATTATGAACATTCTGAAAAATCATGCTACAGATTATTTTCCAGTTAAGTTATTTTCAGGAAAACTTGGTAATTATAAAGATCAGAGCAGAAATCAATGAAATTGACACGCAAAAAATACAAAGAAACAATGAATCAAAGAGTTGGTTCTTTGAAAGGATAAACAAAATAGATAAACCATTAGCCAATCTTACCCAAAAAAGGAGAGAAAAAGCTTAAATCATTGGAATTAGAAATGCAAAAGGTACACGGGGGATTTATCTCAGTGGTGCCTCGCCTGCCTCGCCCACCTCGCCCATGCAAGGTCCTGAGTTTGATCCCCAGTACCCCCGCAAAAAAACCAAAACCAAAAAAATGCAAATGGTGAAATCACAACAGGCATTGCTGAAATAAAAAAGATTATTAACAGCAACTTTGCATACTTATTCACCAATAGTTTGGAGAAAGCAGAAGAAATGGATAGATTCCTATATACTTACTAAACTGAACCAAAAATATTTTAAAATCTTGAACAGTCCAATAACAGGCAGTTAAATTGAAGCAGTAATACTGGCTAAGAAAAGCCTTGATCTGGATTCACTGCTAAATTCTCTACAAAAACTTGAGGGAAGATCTAACACTAATACTCGTTAGCTCTTTAGTAAAATTGAAAGAGAAAGAGTATTTCCAAAGTCATTCCTGGAAGCTTCCATTAACCTGTTTCTAAAACTAGACAAGGATCCAAGCTGGTGTGGTAGTACACACTTGTAATCCCAGCACTATTCAAGCCAACCTGGGGGCACAGTGAGTTCAAGGCCAGTCTGATCTACATAGGGAGACCCTGTCTCAAAACAAAAGAACCAGACAAGGATACAAGCAAAAAGGAGAGCTATAGACCAGTCTCTTTACTGAATATATATGCAGAAATCCTCAACAAGATACTAGCAAACAGAATGCAACAAATCATCAAAAAGATCATCAGAAAAAAAAAAAGATCATATCATGAATAAGTAGGCTTCATCCCAGGGATGCAAGGGGATGGTTCAACATACTCAAACCAATAAATGTAATACATCATGTAAATAGTAACAAGGACAAAAATCCTATGATCATCTCAATAGATGCAGAAAAACCCTGTGATAAAATTCAATACCTTCCATGATAAAAATACTGAAAAAATAAACATAGAAGGACCTTATCTCAATCTGATAAAAGTCATTTATGATATCTGCCACCTGCCTTGAAAGCGCAAGAGTTCAATCCCCTGTACCAAAAAAAAAAGTCATTTATGACAAGCCTACTGGCAAAATCATATTAAGTGGGGGAAGACTGAAAGCTTTTCCTCTAAAATCAGGAGCAAGACAAGAATGTCTAGTCCCTGAAACATTAGCAAGAGCAGTTAGGCAAAAAAAAAAAAGGATATGTATAGGAAAGGAAGAAGTCAAATTATCATTTATAGATGATATGATTCTCTACGTAGAAGACGCCAAAAGTTCTACCAAAAGACTCTTAGAATTAATAACTAAATTCAGTAATGTAGCAGGTTACAAAAACAACACAAAAATCAGCATCGTTTCTGTACACTGAGAAATTAGGAAAAAAATACCATCCACAATAGCACCAAGAAAATGTAAGTACATGGGAATTAACCTAACTAAGAAAATGAAAGACCTCTACAATGAAAACTACAGTATTCTGAAAAAAAAAAAAATGAGGACATCAGAAAGTGGAAAGGTATCCTATGTTCCTGAATAGGCAGAGACAGTATAGTCAAAATGACTATACTTCCAAAATTGATTCACAGATTTAATGCAGTCTCAATCAAAATACCAATAGCATTCTTCACAGAACTTGAGAAAACAATCCTAAAATTCATGTGGAATTAGAAGAGACCCAGAATTGCATGAGCAAAGCAGGAGACATCACAATCCTGGACTTGAAGTTATGTTACAAAGCTGTAGTGATGAAAACCATGTAGTACTGGCATAAAAACACGTGAGGATCAGTGGAACAGAATAGAGGATGCAGAAACAATTCCAAGCACATTCAACTATTTGATCTTTGACAGAGGGCCTAAAAAGATAAACTGGAGAAAAGATAGCCACTTTAATAAATGGTGGTGGGTAAACTGGCAATCCACATGCAGAATATTGAGTCTTGGGCCATATCTCTCACTAATGTACTAAGCTAAAGTCAAAATGGTTCATAGAACTAAATGTTAAAATGGAAAAACTTAACCTGGTGGAAGATAAAATAGGTAATACTCTTGAAGTCATGAACAGGACCCCAATTGCATGAGAAATAACATCAAGAATCAACAAATGGAATCATATCAAAAAGCTTCTGCACAGCAAAAGAAACAACCAACAGAATAAAAAGAAAATCTACAGAATAGGAAGTAATTTTTTTGGATGTTCCTCTGACAGAGGACTGCTACCTAGAATAAAGAACTCAAAATACTAGACTCCCCAATGTAAAATTCCCAATCAGAAAATATACAAGTGAAACGAATAGACATTTCAAAGAAGAAGTACAAACAGCCAATAAACACATGAAGAAATGCTGTTAGAGAAATACAGATTAAAACAATTCTGAGGGCCAGGGATTTAGCTCAGTGGCACAACACCTGCCTCGCAAATGCAAGGTCCTGAGTTCAATCCTCGGTACCACAAAAACAAAAAAATAAAAACAACAATGCAGAGATTCCATTTTACCCCACAATGAGTGGCCATCATCAAGAAATCAAATAACAAGTGCTGGCAAGGTTGTGGGTAAAAAGGAACCCTTCTGCATTGGTAGTGAGTATGTAAACTTGTACAAGCGCTATGGATATTCCTCAAAAAACTAAAACTAGGAATTCCATTTGACCTAGCTGTTCCCCCTTCTAGGTTATCTTCCTGAAGGTGTTAAAGATATCATACTAAGTGATGTACACCCATGTTTATAGCTGTGCGATTCATAGTTGCTAAATCTTGGAAACAGCCTTGTATATCCATTAACAGATGAGTGGATAAAGAAAATGTATTTACACACACTGGAATACTACTTTACTATAAAGAAGGATAAACTTATGTCATTTGTAGGAAAAAGGGGTACATTTTGAGATCACGGTATTAAGTGAAGTAATCAGACATACAAGCTTAAATATTCCATAGTTTCTTTTATGAGAAACCCAATATATAAATAGAGAACAAAATAAAGATAATTGAAAGTAGGGAGATAAATCTTCCTCAAATGGAAAGGGGATCAGGGATAAAGGGAGGGGGGAAGAGGAAAGGGAAAGGGGTTGAAAAAAGGAATTAAGATGTGTTGTGCATATGTTTCAACTCCACACAGAAATATAAACCTGTACTGCAAACATGTACTAATAAAAATAAAAGAATGGTAGCAGGTGAAGATGTGGAATCAAGGAAGGGATTTAAAAAAAAAATTGTAAGAGACTTAGGCATCTTGAGAAAAGGTTGGAGATATTTGAATGGAGGACAGGATAACAATAGTAAAAGGTTTTAGACAACCAAGGTGTATTTGTTGGATTCAGCACATAGGTGGAGGAAATTGGCATAGCTAGTTGTCCCCATCCATTGTTCCAACATGAAGAAAGAAAAATGTGGGTAAAGATGTAGCTAAGTTTTTACATCATGTGGTGGGAAGTGGAAGTCTGTTCCATAAATGACTTCTCTTTTCTCTGAAGAATACTATAAAGTCTTGTGCTGAGACAGAAGGGAGATGAATTGCTAGAAACTGGAAAGCTTGGTTTGAGATACCAAGCATGATGAATGGCAGAATAAGCTAGCACATTCTCTTTGTAAGCTATAGATTTTTGACTAGCAAACTGTTTTATAAGTTAAAAAGTACTATGGAAATGTAAGTTGAAATGACTTTAAATTGAACAGCAAAAATCATTGAAAAGTTTTTTCCATCTTCCCAATTTAGGCTTCAATGTGGAGACAGTAGAATATAAAAATATCAGCTTCACAGTCTGGGATGTTGGTGGCCAGGACAAAATCAGACCTTTGTGGCGACATTACTTCCAGAACACCCAAGGTAAAGGTTGAAATTGTGGGTCTTATATGTGTCTGAAGATGGGTGGTTGAAGTGATACTGGGTGCTCTGCTTTATTTGGACTGTCAGTCATTCCCTGTCTTTCGCTAGCCTCCTTACCCTTACTGGGAAGGTATCTTTGAAATATAATTCGCGTGCTCCTCCTAGAAAAGGGACTTGGGCTTTGACTTCTCTTAATCCAGAATAGTTAGAAGATGGTTACTGCACCTTGATGAATTTCATCTTTTGGTTAATGAGAATAATGTGTGCCTTAGATGAAGTACGAGTTTTTGAAGAATTTAAATTCAGTTAACTGCTTTAAACTTGTTGAGAATATCTGAAGATCTTGCTTCCAGAGAAAAAGAGATGAGTAAGGATGATCAGAACCTCAAATTCCAAATCTCAAATCCTGGCATCTTGTGTGGCCTCTCTCCTTCCCTGCTGCTCTTCTGTTTTACACATACATGATGCAGGAATATCTCAAAACATCACCTTATTTTTTTTTTATCATAGGTTTCTTAAAACTAAGAGTTTTATTGTAGTCACTCATGAGTCTATTTATGTGTTTTCATTGGCTATATTTTGGATAAATCAGACTTTATTGAGTATTGCCTATTAAGATACTCAAACTGTTCACCTTATTTTTATACCCTGATTCTCATGTGCAGTCTTCACCATATGGCATCCATAAATTACTCATTTTAGAGTTTACTTGGAATTTTGAAGATTGCTGCTGTTGCTGCTGTTTTCATTCCATATGTTTGGTGGTGAAGCCTTACATTTGTCAGTCATTCCAGACCAAGCACTCAAGGCATCCATCCCTTTTTATCTTATGTCATTCCTTTAGCTGTTACCTTTGGCCCTTAATTCTTCTTTTTTTTTTTTTTTTTCAGTTTGTCCCTTAATTCTGTTTACAGTTATCTTCTCAGCCTATTGATATTAGAATGTCTTTCTTCAGTTCAGTGCAATTTTAAAAGCATTTTCTAGTGGAAAATTTAAAACAAATATGAAGAAAGAAAGGATAACACAATGAACCCCATATATCATCACCCATCCTTTGTAGTTATTGGCACTTTGCCTACCCAAATGTGATGCCTTTTACACGTACATCTTTCAGCATTCATTTATAATACAGCCTTTGGTTGTCTTTGTAAGCATGATCTCTTTGTAATATCATTCCTAAAGTTAATAATTCTGTTTTATCTACTACTCAGTCCTTACTCAAGTTTCCCATTGTGTCAGATGTAGCTTTTCTGTGTTTGATTTATTCACATCAGGATCAGAGTGCACGTGCTGTATTTTGTTGTTCTGTCACTTTAGTCTCTTACTCTGCAACAGTTCCTTTCTCTTTTTTTCTACGCCATAATTTTTGGTTAAATGTTTATCGTGTATTCTGGATCTGGCTGATTTATTTAATATAGTGACATTTGTTTATCTATGTATGGATTTCCACTAAACCGGTAGCATGCGATAGAGGCTTGATTAGATTCCAGTTCTTTGTGGAGCAAGAATACTTCATAATACTGTGTTATATCACATCCTAACACAGAAGTTTGGTTATCATACTTAAATTCATTTTTCTTTTTTAAAAAACTTTTTTTTGTGTGGGTTTTTTTCTTTTGATATGGTCTTGCTGTGTAGTTCAGGTTGGCCTTGAACTCATGGTAATCCTCCTGCCTCAACCTCCCGAGTGCTGGGATTACAGATGTGCACCACCACACTCTGCTTAAAAAACTTATTGTGATAAAATACATATAGTATAAAATTTACCAGTTTAGTCATTCTTAAGCATACAATTCAGTGGCATTAAGTACACTTAATTTTGTAAGTGACACTGTCCATTTCCAGAACCTCATCACCCCCAGCAGAAACTCCATACTCAGTAAGCAATAGCTGCCATCCTCCTACCTTCACCACCTAGTGACTTTTCTTCTCCTTTCTGTCTGTGCACCTCCTTATTTTGGATATTTTATATAAGTGGAATCATAGTAATTGTCCTTTTGTGCCTAGATGTCTGGCTTCTTTTACTTAGCATTATGTTTTCAGAGTTGTCCATACTGCAGTATGTATGAGAATTTCATTCTTTTTATGACTGAATAATATTGCATTGCTTAGAGATAGTACATTTTGTTTGTGTATTGATGGACACTTGGGTTGACCCTACCTTTAGGCTATTATAAATAGTATTGCTGTCAACATTCATGTACAGCTATTTATTTGACTCCTTGTTTTCAGTTTTTTTAGGTTTATACCTATGAGTGGAATTGCTGGATAAGTTTTTGTTTTTATTGTGGTAAAAGACACATACAGGAAATTTACCATTTTAACCACTTTTAAGTATAGAGTTCAGTGGTATTAAATACATTTAGAATGTTGTACAATCACGACCATCACCACCCATCTTCATATCTCTTTTTTTCTTATAATACTGAGATTCTGTACCTGTTAAGCAGTAACTGTCCATTCTTTCCTTCCTCAAACTCCTGGCAACCAACCACTGGGTTGTCACCTGGGCTCAGATGGTATCAGCCTAATTTCCCCAAAATAAAATTCCCCATCAACCCTTTGACTAAATGGTTTTAGCATCCATTGAAGATTATTTCATTTAGAGTTACAAAATGGTGATTTCTCTAAATCTTGTTATTCCTTGTATATTTATTAGCTAACATCTTTCTAAACAAAGAATTCCTTCATCAAATTGTTTTCTCTGAAATATAACTGTACAAACAAGGTGGGAAAAATGCTTTATTCTTTATTGATTTTTGGAGAATCTGCTTGATACCCTAGAGACTTCCATGATAAAACTTGGATTTTTTGTTTTTGTTTTTGTTTTTTTGGTACTGGGGATAGAACTTGGGTCCTTGTGCTTGCAAGGCAAGTGACAGAATCACTGAGCTAAATCTCCAGCCCTGGATTTTAAAAATATTTTGTGTTTCTGTACATTGCAGACAATATTTTTTTGGTACTCAGAGAGTCCGTTTATCTTGGACTGGCACTGCCCAGCTCAGCCAAACCTCTGCAGTTTCTTAGCTGCAATAAAACTAGTATACATGGGTTTGAACCACAACTCTGCTGTGAAATCTTGGAAAAATTAGGTAATCTTTTCTATCTCCATTTCCTTGTCTTAAAATGGGGGCAGTACCCACTGCCTGCATCCCTGGGTTGAAATGAGATTACTTTTGTGAAATGCTTAGTTCTGTGGCTAGGAGGCAGTAGGCACTCAGAAGCCCAAATTGAGGTTTTACTGTATCATTCTCTGGCAGGATTCCTTTTTAAAAACACTATTCAGAGTTATCACATTCAAACACGAAGTTAAAGTGACTTCTTGTCTTTAGTCTCTATTCATAACAGGCCTAATTTTACTAAATTTCAGTGACTGTTGCTTTAATTGCAGAGAGCTAACTATATTCTTGGACCTTAGGGTAGGTAATTTGGGCTCTCCATGAAATAGAAAATGGGAGCTATATGAAGATAGATTTGCTGTCTTTGACTGGACCAAATGTCTCAGCCAAGAGTAGTCTTGGCTACCACCCTGTTTTTTTCCTGCCAACTTCCCAAAGATCGGGGTCTTTTAATTTAAATTTTCTTCATCAGTGTGTTGAGTATGACAGAACTTAATGAATTATTTTTGCTCCCCATGAAGGCATTCAGTTGTGTAGATTTTAACTATAGAGCTTGGAATTGGAATTGTTTATGTCATTTCTTAATTGATGTACTATACAAAATGCATAAAATGCTCCCATTAGTTCTCATGTGGAAGGATTTTTCTCCTTGATTATAGGTTTAGTTATTTTAATTTGTTGAATGGAAATATATCTATATGGTTGAAACATAAGAAAAGGGGAAAAGGGTACAAATAGAAAAGTCACCACCTCATTCCTCAGTTCCCCTCTCATAGACAACTACTTTTATTTCATGTATATCTGTTTAGACATACTTTATGCATCTATATCTACATATATCTGCTCTTTTAAAAGCATATAATAGTGTACTATTTATGTGTAAATGTACCTTTTCTCTGAGATCAGAAGTGTAGCCAGTCTGGTCTTAGGTTCTTCAGTAAGGATCTATAAAAAACTGTAAAATAGGACCCAGTATTATAAAATTTTATTTTTATTAGGAATGGCAAATAACATGTCAGCCTTTACCTCGTCAGTGTTGCATTAGAGACTAAGGATCCGCTTGAACTTCTGGAGAACTTGGCTTGTTATGATTAGGGTCCAGAACTGCTGGTAGCATATCAAACCTTTAGGGGAGTTTTGAATGTTTTGCATTTTTTCATTTTTAATCTCATGTGCTATAACAGATGACTTTGACTCATGCAAGCCCCAAACATGCAGAAACTGGCATAGGCTGCCTGGAGCAGCAGGTTTAGGCAGCCGCTGGGTGGGCCTTGGAGGCACAGAGGGGAGGACAGAGGGCCAACCCTGGTTTTCTCTTCTAGACATAGCTGTGGAATCTCATGGTCAAAGGAAACCAAGAGGTAATCTCATCCTACTCCCTTTTCCCTACTAGGTTCTCCTCTAAAATGTCCCCAGCTTGTGCCTTCAGCTGGACGTAAATACCTCCCATGGTGAGAGTGCCTCCTGTGCTAGCATATCACATCTCCAATCATGCTGACTTTTAATGCTGACTTCCTGTAGTTTTCACCTACTGGTCTTCAGTCGCCTTATAGAACTATATAAAGCACTTTAAGCCTCTTTATACCATAGCCTTTCAGGTATTTGAAGACAACTGTCAGCCCTTCACTGAGTCTTTTTCTCTAGGTAAAATATCCCTGGTTAAATCAGTTATTATTCATATGACCTGGTGTTCAATGCCTTTACTATTCTGATCATTCTTTGCATGCCCACGTCTTGAGAGTGTGGAATCCAACACTGATCATGTAATGTTCCCAAGGTGTTCTGGCTGAGGGTGCCTCTTATTACTTGTATCCCTGAAATTGAGCTACGATCACTCCTAGTGATTCAGCCTAGGATCAAGTGAGTTCTTTTGGGTGTCCT